CTCTTTGTACTGGGCCGCCAGCAATGAGGTCTTCGGCCTCTGACGCGCTCTGCGAGCGGGGAACAATGAATCGCTTCTGCGGGTACGTTTGTGAGCGAACGTGGGCACCGTGTGAAAGGGAGTGAGGATTGGAGCGTTGAGCTTGAGCGGGCAAAGCGCGCAGCGGGGAGGTGGGTGAATCTGCAAAAATGCCGACGCCTGAGGCGGTGCCAGTACCCGTGAAGAAGCAGAATCTGGAAGCACCGCCAGTCAGTGTCATATCAAAGTCAGGTGAAGAATACGAACCTGTTCAAAAACTCCTTGTAACTCCCCTTTCCCTCCTCTTCATCGCCATCCTCTCCCTCTATCTCTGTATCGTCTGTTTCTGTGAGCACCTCGCTTTCCGTCGGGCTGGGGCTAGGACTGGGGCTCGTATCCCTTGAACTCCCAAAGCTCGGCGTCGAGAGCTCACTATCCTCCCCTCCGACATTCTCTGCCCCTTGGCCAGCGCCACCAGCCCCGTCGAAGAATCCAAGCCCCGTCGTGCGCGTAGGCGGGAACGAGTAGAACCGCCCCGGCATGGGCGTCTCCTCACCCTCAGCCCCAGATGCGTCCGATTCCGACGCACTAGGCGGCGTCCCCGGTGGCGTTTTCCTTGCTCCACTCCCACTTGGCACCTCAGTAAAGTACCCTCTCCGATGATGGCGCGGGCCCAGTGGCGGGTTCGGGTTGATGGAGAACGGCAGGTCCTCCGCGTCCCTGCCATGGTTCGGCAAAGACGCAAATGGCGGACGGTCTTCGTCTGATGCATCGCGCGGGCTGCCGAGTGGAGGCGTCCACCGCGCACGTTCCTTCTCCCTCTGCTGCGCAGGCCACGGAATGGAGTTCGCGTCCGCTTTAGGATCAGGGATGGCAGTGGCGGGGTATGACTTCGGGCGCGTGCCACTAGGGTAGGATTGAGTTCTTGCGTGGGAGGACGTGCGGGGAAGGGGTGTGTGCGGGAGAGGTGGAGGCACCCAGCGGTTCGCGAGGGACTGAGCGAAGTCGTATCGAGGAACGGGACGTGTAGGGGTTGGGGCGACGACTTTTTCGAGCGTGGAGCGGAGGGAGGCAATGGTGTTGGGGTCAGGGGTAGGCCGGCGCCCGCGCTCCTCACGTTCGCGTTCCTTCTCTGTGGAGCTGGAGCTTGAACTGCTGGTGGAAGGCTCCTTGGACTTGGGCTTCGCCTCGAGCCCGAACTCGACAAGGTAGTCGCGCCCAGTGTTGTTGTCCCACACTTCGCGCCCACCGACGGTATACCGCACCGCGAGGAGCATGCGCTTCCCATCGATACGCGCCATGAGGTCGTTCAAGCGCACGGTGAACACGAAGATGTCCGTGCGTTGAGAGGGCGACGAGACGTAGTGCGCCGAGACCTCCGAAGTCGTTTGCCACGCATCAAAAGTGAAGCGGGCTACAACGGACTTGGCGTAGGCAAGGTTCGCGACGCGCACCCGGCCAACGACGGAAGGCGAGTCTGTGCTGAGTGTGAGAGACTCAAGAAGAACGTCGCTGTCGGCAGCGAGGCACGTGGGCATGTTGAGGGTGTGCATGGCGAGGCTACGGGAAGAGGGGTGAACACCTGAACCAAATATCCAGTCTGGAAAGTCTGTGTCGGTGCCCGAGGCGGTGTCTTCTGTAGGGCTTCCATCCCTGGAGACGGCGAGGGGCTTCTGCTCGGCGAGAAAGAGTTTTACGTGCTCGAGCTGGGCATCAAAGTGTACGGCCTTAGGGGCATGAGTTGGGGTAGCGGGTGCGCTCTTGGAGTTGCAATAGGGGGAACGTGGGGTGAGGAGGGAGAGAGACTTGGATGGCTTTAAGGACGACTTGACGAGCTGGCCAGACTTTTTGCGAATGAGGCGGGGTTGAGACTGGGAGACTGGGAGAAAGGATGACGAAGCCTGGGGTGGGGACGAGGCCGAGCTACCCGAGGTTGGCGGGTGTGCATGAGACTCGGAAAAGTTGCGGGCAGTGGTGAGGCGCAAAGAGACACCGGGCGAGTACAGTAGTGGCGGACGACGAGTAGTGGTTTCAAGTTGCTCTGAGCGCACCCTTTTGGTCCGCAAGGCGATTGTTGGTCGGTCGCTGTCGCTGGAAGAGGACGAACCCGAGTCATCAAAGGCTAGTGGGGGCGACGACTGCTGTATGATGACCTTGATAGGCATGGAAGAGGAAGACTCGCGCGAAAGACGCCTTGGGAGTGGGAGAGGGGCTCCTGCCTGGTTTCCTGCAAATAGGGGATTTGTAGGAGGCGACATGCGCTGAGTTGCGAGCATCTTCTGGGGCGTAAGTAGAGTGAGTTACAGCCTTGGCGGGTTATGATGTCGGTCGATATATAAAACTCGCCTTGGGAGTCGCCAGGACTGGTCACGGGAAAGGCGTCCGCGGAGGGAGATGCGGACTTTGCAGGAGCGTCAGCTAAAAGTATGGTTTTAGGCGATGGTAGCGTGGATACAGGTAACAGGCCGGGTTTAATCCTGAGGGTCAGATCTCCGGCCTGAGTGGGTGTGGAATGTCGATAACATCCAACTCCATTTTATTACAACATTTTAGAGTTGCGGCAATCATTCCGTGTCTCACATTGATCACCACCGTGCATACTCCTTGGCTCAGTTCAGTAACCTCCATTCTAGCCCTATCAGATCATTTGTCGGCCAACCAGCATGAGGACAACCCCGGGGAACGATAACAAGCCCAGAGCAAGAGTTTGTAGCCAGAGTATTCAAGCCAGAGTTTTTTGCCTCCTTTTTGCCACGCAGGCATGGCAATTTACGATCGTCACCAACGTTTTGACTCGTGTTACGGCCGCATCTTATCTCGACGACAACAATCACTAAATTCAAATCCAACAATGTTCAAATCGCTGTATCCCATCTTGCCAATTCTATTCTTCTTGTCTTCTTGCCTGTCTCCTCTCCTTCTTTTTGTAGCCCCAATTACTCATAATCACCAGTGACCAACGCTATACACTCCTCGAACCTTCTTCCCTCCGCTACACGTCCCTAGCCGTCTCTCACTTCAAAAAAACCTTGAAACCCATCGAGCCTTGTCGAGCCCACGGTGAACGTGCCTACAACTGTGCCTGGATGACGGTATATGGCGTCACATGTCTTTTTCTTGTCATCTTGTTCTGAATTGTGTTATCATTCTCAATCTCCACGAATAGAGGACTCGGCCGCTCGGACCTCGACGCGGACCTATTTCAAGCTTGCCTCCCTCCGTCCGAGTCCGAAGGTTCTCGGCGTGTACATCGTATCAGTGAAAAGTGCTCACTATGCCTTTTACATGAAGGAGCTTATCGGATACGTATTACCAGATAACAATGTCCAAGTCCCCAGCTCGCGATTGCACTATCTTTCGCACCTAATCACAGTGCGGACGTGATAGCAGCCCCATTGTGATCCAATGACATCCTCCCATTTTCTTGACATTACGTTTGAGCGCGGTTCCGAGTGGCGCTTGATACATACTCTCCATTCCGTGTTGCTCCGCCCAAGTCTTACGCCATTAGTAAGTACGGCCTTCGAGGCTCTAAAGAAGCCCAATTTCGGAGAGGACGGACTATGACGATCACGCTTCGGCAAAGGGCTGACTATGGTGGCTTCTCTCCGGGGTCGGATACCAACGTTCGATGACGGTCTAAGTCGAATTGGCAATGTGGCTATGTTTACAAGGTCTCCACCTTCGCTTTGAAACCTTTGATCATCCGTCTACCTCGGTCAAGGAAAGATACCGCTCAGGTGGTCTAGTACGAGCACAAGCCCTTTGATTAGGAAGATGATATGCATCTCGCGTTAAACCCGCTCTCTCACCAACCTTCGTTCAAACATTATACTTGCTGTACGAGAGTTTACAATGCCTCTCAAGCTCTAGCTCGTGCTGTCTCTTCTCGCCGACTCGATGTCTTATCATCACCGGTCGCCATTCAAGAACTCGAGACAAGCTACCGCGCCATTCATTCGTCTTCACAGCCTTCACCAGTACCTCATCAGTTCCGCGGCGAACACGACAGCCCTCGTATCGCCTAGCTCCCAGGGTGCCTCCTGACCTAATCATGACTATGATTTTCCCAACAGTCAGAAAGAACTGGAAAGGATCAGAAAACATACTCAGGCTCGAGCACTGCCCTGTCAGGATCCCCGCAGTCAAGCGTCAAGTACAAGCCAAGTTGGCGACAGATTACGGTTTTAGACTCTCTTCTCAGGCCTTTCCAGGATCCAATTACAATGATCATTTTGCCTCTGGCAGCGACACACCCACGCTGTCTCCCATGCATCCCTGCATCGCACAATGTCTACTTCCATGCATACATATGCACCCCCAGCGCCAACGCCACCCTATCTCCCATCCCAGCTCCACCAGTTCTTCTCTTTGTTCTTTCTCCTTCGACGTCTCCAGAGCACAAGCACGAGGTCCCCGTCCAGGGTCTCCCCTCCGCCCACGTGTGCGGCGCGGTGGGATAGGCTGAGACCAGACGTCTCGTTTGCCTGAGCTGATCCTGAGTGATCGCGACGCACATGCGCGCGATGCGTGCAACTGATGCATACCATCGCGAGACACCCAGCGGCGGATACGCGCTTGACTCACGACAGGAAATGCCTGCCAAGTCCGGATATGTCCAATATCCCTCGGATTTTGGTCGTGCTTGGAACCCTTGGTTCTTGTGTGCTTTCTGCGAACCCGGGGGGGTCGGAGGGTGCGCAGGTGGTGTTTTTTTTGGATGTGTGTTGGATGTGTGCTACTCTACATACAGCCCGGGACTCGGATGGACAACTCGTATTGCCATGTACACTGTTCTTGCACAGTCAAATATTTTCTCGCTTGTTTGACGTTTATATACTGGCTTCATACCTTCGACGAGGGATGTGTTTGTGTATGGCAGAGCCTGAAGCGCAAGCGGGAAGCCTACCCTTACTCATTGTGTCGTTCGCCTGGAGCTTCGAATTCTCCAGCTGTAGAGTCGTTGAAGGCTATTTGCAATGTCCCTCTTAGCTCAGTGGTAGAGCGCGTCACTAGTAGCAGTTGCGTATGAAATCGAGTACGAAATGACGAGGTCAGTCGTTCAAGTCGGCTAGAGGGAACTGCATTGTTGACATATGATATCTTTGTCTTTTTATTGCAGATGCATGTATATCTCAGGAACGCAAGGTGACGCATGATAGAGTATATATATATTGTTCGCCTGAGTCATTTGCAGAGGCCACGCAATGTTAATTCAGAGAAACTCTGTACTTTGGGATAGCCGCAATCTCTCGGCGTATATCTGCTCTCCATTTTTGAAAAAAGGGATGAATGACTTCGCACCCCGGTGCAGTCTTTATCATGAACGTTTTTTCGAGATCTTTGAGAGCCCCAATATCCGACAATGCCTGGATGACGAAGAGTATTTCTTTATCGTGCCCTCCGTGATAGCCACATTTCAGGCCTTTGTGCATCTGAACTGCATTTCGACGGACAATATGCCATCGTTCTTGATACAAGGCCTATCAAGGAAATCAATTACAAAGGTGTTGAGCGTTTGTCAGTGCGAATTACTTGCCCATGCCGTAAAATATCTGCTAGGAAGAACATTAAGTATCCCAGCGAGTGGCACATCGATCATAGATGGTGCCAGCCGCCCAATGATCTCGGGGTAGTCGTGCTGGCCTCCAAAGGTAATGGTTTTCAATGTCTGGTTCTGATTTAGATTCATAGTTCTGTTGTTGAGGTTATTTAACGAATACACAGGCAATTGGCAAATCAAAATGACATACCTAAGCCGGTTAGTGCGTGCATACATGGCGGAAAAAACTTCATATTTTTCAGCAGCTTCTGCAAGGGGGAAAACAAATTCGAAGCACATCATGTTTACATCTGGAAGCCTTCGGGGATAGACGAATTGAAACAAGAGATCCATAGTCACAGCATCCTCTGTGAGGTGGACAACTTCATCAAGTGTCTTGAACTCCGAAGGTGGGAATCCCCCAGTGTGCGTCTCCAGGTTTGTTCGATGGATTGAAAAGCGCATGCCATCCCTAGACTGAAAGACGACATCCGCATCTGGGGCACAAACTGAGACAAGTCAGAGTCCGTCTGAAGCATTAGGGAAAGGACCGACAGGTAGTTGAAGTCCGGATTGGTGTAAATGTGGGGCCTCCTGCATCTATTTTCTGCTTGGCCTGAGTTTCAGAATCGACCATTATTTGATTGGTGAAAGAGAGGGAGAACAGGAAAACAGGGGGGTTGCAAATTTAAAAAGATTGATGTGTAGATAAGTAATACCTCACGATAAGATAAGATGTGGCCACCTTCGTTGTGGCGCTTCACTTGTCATGTTTTGCCATTTTCCCGTGTCATCAGCAATATTATGACAAAACTGCGGGCTGATTGGTCACTTCCGGCTACGAGAGAAGCTTGTGCACCGCGGAAGTCGCTACAGTGTCCGTTCAGAAGCACAGTGGTTGCTGTCCTCGTTCTGAAATTTGGCAAGAAAGTGATGGTCGAGTTTTTCAACCACAATAAGTTACATTCCCCGCAAATAAGAAAGTAGGAAGAGGAATGTAGCATCTTCTCGGACTGTGAAATTCGGGTTACAGAAACTCAGTATACTTCGGAATCACCGCAATCACTCGCTGTATATGATCTGCTCTCCATTCTGCAGAGCGGGTTGAATACCGTCGCACCCCGACAACACAGGTTTGAACGTCCTGTCAAGATCTTTGAGAGCCCCGATATGTCCAAGTAGACGGTTGAGATGGAGTAGCTCTTTATCCAGTTTAGACCTTTCTGCATCAGAATCACGCGGGGACGGGCATCATGCCATCGTTCTTGATACAAGGCCTAGATCCTGGGTAAGAGTCAGGCTATGGTCATAATAAACTCACAATCATTAGCTCACTCACCCACGCTAAAAAGTATCTACCGTGAAGCACGTCGCCTATTTCAGCGAGTGGCTCGTCGACCAAGGTGGGTGCCAGCCTTCCAATGATATTGGGGTAGTCGTGTCGGCCTGCAAAGGCAAGGATCTTCAAGGATTGATCCCGTATTAGGCCCATATGTCTGTCATCGATGTTTTACAACCTAAATATGATCATCTACTTCAAAAGACACGCACCTGCTCGTAAGACGGCTACTGCATGTATACATGGCGGAAAAGACTTCATATTTCTCAGCGGCTTCCGCCAGAGGCAACACGACTTCGAAGCACGTCCTGTTCACGTCTGGAAGTCGTCGGGGATAGACAAATTGAAACAACAAACTCAAAGTCACAGCATCCTCCGCGAGGTAGACAATCTCGTCAAGTGTCTTGAACTCAGACGGTGGAAATCCTCCAGTGTGCGTTTCCAGGTTTTTTCGATGGATTGAGAATCGCATGCCATCCTTAGATTGGAATATGACATCCGCGTCCGTGATGCAGATTGTCACAAGTCAGGAGAGAGAGCGGGATAAGAACAACGATCCATTGACAGGCTGTTGACGCCCTAATAGATAATTCTGAGGAACCTTCGGCATCATGTATTCGACAATTCTGAATGTCGGCCATAATTTCAGGGGAAGAGGAGAAGAGAGGAGCGCGTAGTTTAGGTTTAATGCCCAAGATTTAGGTGAAATATTAAGAGTCAGAGCTTGGGAAATCGTTCCTTGAAATCCAGCATCCTGGCCATAGGCCACAATGCTGGTCAAATGACTGGTCGTTCATCGAGCGTTGAGCAAGATAGATAAGATAAAATGGTAATTTGCCATAGTAAGTCAAGATGGTACTCAGAATGTAAGTCTGGTACTGAGGCTTGAAGATTCTCGGGGTGTGTGAGAGAGAGCGTCGAAGTCAAAATATCAAGAAGTCAGCATTGATACTAACGACTCGATTGCGCTCACACCGAATAGTAATGCATATCCAGATACAAGACTTGGGAACAAGTGATCTAGACAGAGCGAACAACAACTCCATGGCCCGCTCAGCAGAACGTGAAGCTGGTGAAGCATAATCAGCATCGACGCATCACGAGCGACGAAGAGGGATTATGGTATCCTGAGGCTCCCTGTTTTCTTGCAAAGATAGTACGAGAAGGTCCTAGAGCGTTGCCTACGATCCAGGCCACTCGACAGTCTCTACTGCTCTCCGTTTGCCTCTCGCTTTCTCCGACAGATATCGGTCTGCTTCTTCTGCTATTGTCACCCGACGCTCTAGGCGCTTCCCATTAGGGGCGATAGACACCTGTGGCTTCTTTTTGAACCTGGCTGACTTAGGTGTACTCTGTAGAGTGCGATATCGACGTCAACTCCTTACACTAGTTCATAAGCAGAATATCCCGAACCTTCAGACCAAACGTTCGCCGTCTTTCAACGAAGGCAGGCTCGATCTCATCCAGCATTTCCGAGCGAAGCCGAAGGACAAAACAACGTGGCGGCTGCTTCACGTCCTCCCGACTGGCTTCGACGATGACAAATGTGGAACTTGTGTATTTCGCCTCCGTTTTGGGGCAGGTGAAATAGAAAAGCTCCTGAAGAGCACGGACAACCAGGTCCGCAAAGAAGAATTCGCAATTTTTGTATTCATAATGAGTAGGTTTCATTTTGGCAACAATAGGGGCAAGAAGAATGAGATCAAGAAGGAGGGGGGCTGGTTCCGTGAACCGTGTCTGTTCGACTAGTAATTTGGAATCCTTGGGCCAGGAGTCAAGCCTATCCACGATAGCAGGGTATGTCAAGGGGCCCATTTCTAAACGCATGTAGACATGGTGCCCAGGAGAAGATGGACCAGTCGCAATTGCCGCGACAAAATAACTGTAGACCGCGTCGTCGGCTTTGAGCTTATAAGTACGGATCTCGACCACCCTCTCGTTCAAGAGGCGTGACCTGGCAGATGCGTAATCATCAGGCTTGCTCTGATCGAAAACCTCAAGCACCTCCTGTTGCCACATATCGCATGTGCGTCTTTGAGGGCGAAATTCCACATATGCATGAGAGGGATCTGGCGGGCGAGGCGTAAACCTGTCGCCAATTAGGGCAGATATCCCGCGGAGTGCGCCGTAGACCAAATTAGAGCGTTGCATGCCAATCGTCGGTTCCAGTGGCTTACGATTTGGAAGTTGATGGGGTACCACAGGGCCAGGAGAAGGCGCTTCGACGTTATATAGGTATTATGACAATGAGTAAGGGCACATGGCCACAGCCAATGGCGACTATTGTTTGGAGCTTGATTTCCCTCGGCTGTGCAGGTGCCTCAAGGCTCGAAGGACAAGCCGAATCTTGACGGCTCGATCTCGTGGCCTTTGTGGGTCGATACTTCTCTTGTTCGTTCCGATAATACAACTGGACGATAACATAAGGAATTCTGTCAATTTCATAAAAAAATATAAAGTGAAAAACCTCACCCTTTCAACTGCTTAAATAACCAGCTGAGACAAGAGTACCAGTGATTGTTGCCAGCAATTACGTTGTCTTCTTATTTTTGTGTGTTTTGAGCGCCTCGTTGTACAGTCCACGTCAGATTCGGAGGGCCTGGGTCAACTAGATTCTGGGACCAGGTTGTGTCGTGAATGAAATTGAAAGGCCCGCAGGAACGATCGAAGTTGGGGCAGAAAGTTGTTTCGGATGAAGGTCCGGACGCCGACGCTGTTTTGCCGCTCCTCCTCCTCCTGAGCTCCTCCTCCAGCCAATCCTCGCAGGTCTTCACATCCCATCTGAGTCAACGGTGCGATGGCCAACACCAACTGAAATTCGCTGTGGCCTCACGACCGAAGTTTTATACATGATACGGCCACCCACTCGTACTGATGCAATCATCAATGTACGTGTCCAATGGCGCGAATCTCGAGAGACTAGAACCAACTTGAGGCAAGCTCGAAGCTATCGGTGGTATATAGCTGTGCAGGCTGCTTCTCGACGTAGGAGTTTGTTCTCAGAATCCACATTTCCGATTCTCCATCAGGCAGATAGCTGTGAAGCCCCGTCCAATTTTAAATCCGTCCTCTCTCGATTAGGTACGGCCAAGCATGACCCTAGGTGTCTCATGACCCAGGTAGACGGCTCCGGAAGATATTCTCAGGACGCTGGCACGACTGTAGGAGCAAAGGCCTAGTCAGAGTTCTCTGCGAGTGAA